CTCATCCTGAAGCAAAGTTCTTAACCCGAGGTACTATTTCTGGGTTAGTGGAGTCTGTAATCTAAAACATATGTAACCTGAAGCGTATGTAACTCGAGGTACTACTGTACAGATCTCCCAAACCATATGCTTCAGGCAATTCAACCAACAAGTCTGCCATGAACAAGTTGGAGCAAAGTCATTAATCCTTTAAATTTAATTTATAACCCACATGCTAATCCCTTTAATGTACTCCTTCAGCTGAAGTTGGAAATGGCAACCCACCTCACAAACCCTTCTAGTTCTAATGAAAGGATGAGATATCTGCACATGAAACCTAAGCAAAGTAAGACTGATCCACAAGGCCATAACAGGCTTTCATTTGATTGTGGAATGGAAACTTTTAATTAGCTCTCATTGAAGTTGGAGTGAATTTGGCTGCACGATCATCTGAGCTCTCCATCAGAGCTCAGAGGTAATGTTTTAGTATCATGGCAAAAAGCCACAATTCAGGCTTTGTCTGAGGTTCTGGTTTTCCACAGGTTGAGGTTCTTTATTGGATACACTTGGCACACTTCTAGCCCGTGGGATCTGTGTGTGACACATATTTCCCCTATACAGCCATGGTAAGATGTACTATCTGTTCCAAAGAGGTGCACTCTTTGGAGCAGATACCCAAGGCTCTATTCGACATCATGAGAAGGAGGGTCCCCAAATGCAGGACAGAAGGCTGGATGACCACATTTTGAAGCAAGTGAAGCAATAAATGTTACTATAGAAAGAACCTCCCCCCCCCCGAAAAACATATTAAATTCAGAGTCTAAACTTATCTAAGTGCACCACTGACAAGAGCATGTAGAGCTGCTGTCAACCTGAGTTGGTCCCTCTTAAACATCACATGGAACTACACATTGTGTCATGCTACTGTTCCAATTCAACTTAAGGAGGAATATAACTGCACCAACAGAGACACGTCCTAAGAGCATGTTGCCTTTCTACAGCCTCTGCCAACCTGGTGCTCTGGCTGGGGATGCTGGAAGTTGTAGCCCAAAACATCTGGCGTGACCAGGTTGGCAAAGCCTGCACTAACATAACGTGGTCAACACAGAGACAGCAAGCAAAGCACAATGGTGAGATGTTTTCTGGGCACAGACTGAGGCAAGAACACAACTCTTGTTTGAATCTTAATTCTTTATGAGATATATCCTTGTTAAGCATGCAACTGCGCAATGCAGGTTTATGGCTCACCTCATCTATACTGGGATACAGTGCAAACAGTTCTGCAGGCCTGTTGGCTTGTCGTTGCTCCTCATTTTGCCTTCGAAAGTCTTCTGCACTAATGTGCTGCAACAGGTCTGCCAGACGAGCATCTGGCTGTAGGCTGCGCAGGTCAAAGTCCCCAGATGTCAGTGTGGCTCGACTGGAGTCATCACAGAGGACTTTTAAATGCCTGGGAGCTGTCTGCTCAAGAGGGCATGAAGTAGGAGGCAACATCATTAATCACTTTAGTTCGCAGATGTTAAAGATAGTATTTCTCTGCCATAATTCTTTTTCAACTCAGTGCGATAATACCTTTGAAATAACTATTCCTCAAAACAAGTAACAGATGATACTGACAGACTAAGGGCAAGCCACATATCTCCCCCTTCGTTTTTGTAGGATTGTTTCTCCCCTGTAAAAAATGGGCAGGAGTTTGGGTTCTCACAAGAGAAGTGATTGAATTCTAATAACTTTAGGGTAGGGGGTAAAGAAAAGGTGACATGGTTTCTCCTTTTTCTTTATTTCTTTATTATTATTTTTTCAACAAATGAAAGATAGGGTAGAAGCTCTGGTGATATTTATGAACTGCAACCTTTACTGGAAAAGGGAAGGGTGCACTGATATTTCAGGGGGGAAATCACTGGGACCATATGGAGAGCCAGTCACATGAAAGCATTGTCATGTGAAATGCCCTCTCCCCAGTTGTAGTGCAAGTAGCCACACATGGATAAAGATGGGCTTTGGGCACTGGCAGAGGAAGAGGAGTGTGGGAGGAGCACACCACCCCCACCAGCGTGATCCTGGTGGAGTTCCATTGCGGCTGTGCCCCCGCACGCGCTGGGTGCCCCACCCACACAGGAAGTGCCCCCGCCCCCAGAACACATGCCACACCCCTGCGGTCAGCGCACCACGCCTCTGGGACGTGTGCCAGCCCCGCCCCGCCTGCTCTCCGCCCCCCTCCCCCGGGTGCCGGAGCATGAAGCTCCACCACTGGCTTTGGGTTCATATTGCTATGAACAGTGCTATTTTTCTAGAAAAAGAGGTGCCGGAACTCACCGTGAATGCCTCCCTTGTTCTCTTATAATGACAATGGTGCCCAACTGAGAGGTGCTAGAATTGAGTTCCAGTGGCTAAAAAAAAGCTCAGTTTATGAGGAGGATTTTTTGGGGGGGGTGCCAGATCCCTCTAATCCCTGGATCCAGCAAGTGTTAAAATCTAATCAAGTCAAGCTAATTTCCTGGTGAGGTGATGGGCTATTAAGGCGTTTGGTGTGAGATGACCTCCTCCTTCAACAGATAAAGTCAGAGTTTAGAGTAGTAAAGAATTGTGGCAGTGATGTGACCTAGAAGAAAAGCAGCAAGCTGGAGAGAGAAGGATATTTGATTTCTGTTTGAATCCAAGGCTGCAGCTATGAGAGAAACAAGACCCTTTTGGGGTGTTGATGCTGTGAACCTCTACATTGTAGGCCCATGTTATATATAGGTGTAAATAAATCATATATCACAAAGATACCAGTCTCCACCGTGCCTCATTCCCCAAAGGAAACACAATCCCTGCGTAAGTGCCTGGAACCCCTGGAATCTCACATTGCTTGGAGATTGGGGTGTCGTGCAACAATACTAAAAGTTTCAAGTGTTTTGCCCTTTAGAGTCATTAGATTTACCAATGAGCAAGTGATGAATTAAATATCTAGTGTGCCTAATATACCAAATACATATTTAGTATGTAGCGGGCAAGAATGCAATTAGTTGGGAACCGCCCTGAGTGGCTGGGGAAACCCAGCCAGATGGGCGAGGTATAAATAAATGATACTGCTGCTGCTGCTGATAGTTCTACCCCTCTTCCCTGTTCAGCCCAGGCCAGAAGCTATCTCAAAGGAAAATACCTGATAATTTGAATCACTGTCATCTAAAACTTCAGATTCAAATGTTTGCTTTTGAAGGGACTTGTGGAAATCGCTCCTGGATCCCCTTTTTGTTAAGATGCATGTCTCATTACTTCCTTGGTTTCTTAAATAATAAAAAATAGTAAGTTAGATTTCAATAAAAATGGGGGGAGGGAGGATGAAAGCACAATTGCTATCAAATAAATAAGTTCAGCTGAAATATCATGGCATCCATACAATAGTGCCAGTCTAATGAATTAACATAATATGTGCTTAAATGGAATATAAATTTATCATAATACACTGAAATGCTATATCCTTATTATGAAGTTCAAGTTAAAGCAGATTACAATGGATATTACATGTTTATATTTATATTGTTCATCAAAAGAATGCCCTGCTCCAAAAGTCACTCAAATAAACTATGTAACTGCCAAGCAGGTAATTTGCTATGAACTTCTGGGCAAGGACATCTCAGAACAGTCAGAGGCATGAAGAATGTGGCATGTGGAGTGATACAACACAGCAGCTGACCTTACCCTCCACTGCAGGTTCACCAGAACTACCTGCCTGTAGCTCTAGGTCCCATCGCACACCCTTAAACATCATAGATTCTGCCCTTTATTGAGGTTCTGCTACAAGCAGCTTAATTTACTGCTAGACTGAAACCCAAGACTCTCCATCGGTGTCCCCATAGAGCAGAGCCGCTTTCATTCTGAGATATTGAGAAAACACTTTTTTGCAGCCAGGCCTACTAAGTAACACCATGTTTATTAATTCAGGTTTCTTTCTTTCCAAAGCAACAACAATACACTGAAATGCTTTGTTGTCTTTCATAACAAATACGCCACAATAAACAATTGCAGTGTCTCCAAGTGTCCCTATTTTCCAGGGACATCCCTGATTTAGAGAAGCTATCCTGGTTTCTGATTTGATTCTAGAATGTCCCACTTTTCCTTATGATGTCCCCATTGTATTGGAGAAATTTTGCAGGTTATAGAGTTATCTGAACCCCAAGTCATCTGAAGACAATCCTGCATAGGTTTTTTAAAAGTGTTTGATTTTGTATTATGTTGAAAGCTGCCCAGAGTGGCTGCAGTAAGATGTGTGGGGTATAAATAGTAAAATTATCATTATGGAATGGGATGTCCCTATTTTCATCAGAGAAATGTTGGAGGTCATGCAATTATTGATCATAAAGACACTTTTTATTACATTTTTGGGGAGTAAATGAATTATATGCACTGGTGGTTGTCTTTAATAGATTGCATTTTAATTGTTTGCCAGTTGACTGAGAATGAAAAATTAAGCTATAAAGCACCTTCCTTGCCTTCCCTGTTCTCCTTGGGCATGACCTTGCTTGGGAAACTGTCTTAACTACACAGCATTAAAGACAAGAGTGCTGGATAGTTTTTATTATGAAGCTATAATGTCTGAGAATTGTTTTCATGTGGTGAAAATGTAGACACTTCCTTTGCAAGCACTGAATGCTTTGCTGCTTTCATGTTTCAAAATACCGTAGATTCCGGCGTATAAGACGACTTTTAAACCCCGGGAAAGAGGTTAAAAAGTCGGGGGTCGTCTTATACGCCGGCTATGGCTTTCTCCCGGCGCGGAGCCCACCCACTGCTGCTTCGGAAGCTGTCAAAGCTGCAGCCGAAGCAGCAGTGGGCGGCGGGCTCCACTCCACGCCGGGCAGCTTTCTCCCAGCGCGGAGCTGCCCAGCATATTAGGTGACTGGGCTTATAAGACGAACCACCAAATTGGCAACTGCCAACTGAGTCAGACTAATGGGTCATCTTTGTTCAGCACTACCTACCCTGACTGGCAGCTGCTCTCCAGGGTTTCAGGCAAGAGTTTTTCCCCCAGGCCTGCCTGGAGATGCTGGGGATCGATCCTGGGACCTTCTGCCTACAAAGCAAATGCTCTATCACTGAGCTATGGTCCTTCCTCCTTCTAGTTGCCAGGCTTTTCTAGATTGAGCCAGTGAGAATATCTAGTGAGAGACTAATCCTACATCTTGGCAAGTTAAGGGACTAGTCAAAACAAAAGATGTTAATATTCCTCTGGGAAGAAAAAATATTTAAAATCATTGTTTTGACACTCTGCTGCAAATGTGGCACTTACTTTCGATTCACTATAAGCCAGTCACGAATATAGGTCTGAACACAATCCCGGACATGCGGATCCAACTCAGCCCTGGAGGGGGTACAAGAATATTAATATGCATAGCTAATTACAATGCACAACTTATTTTTTAGGAATATGAATGGGGAACTTCTGACTCGGGGGCCCAACACAACCTGCTAAATTTCTCTATCTAGCCTTCAGAACTTTCCCCAAGTCACATCTCTCAACAGCCCTAATTTACTCCCCAAGTGTTTTGGCCTGGCCAAAATGCATCTTTAAACTTTGAGTATGCCCCTAGCTTGTCTGCAAGGGAGATACTGAGGAGCGTGCGAGTGTGTGTAGAAATTGCCTACCATTACCAATGTAAAAATTATATTGGTTCCTTTGCCCGCTTCTTGTTCTGGCCCCATCCCCCAGCGGCAACTGTCCCCACTCAAACATGGTCCAGAAGAGGATGTGGTCCTTGGGTTTAAAAGGGTTCCCCACCCCTGAATTATAGCTAAAAAGGAACAAACCATACAAAGCCAAATAATAAACCACACAAACAAAAATATCATTTTTTTAAAGGAGTATATTGTTTAAACTCCAAAAAATAATCCATGCAATCTCCAGCCAGTGAAGTGAGGAGCAGCAGGAGACTAAATGATTGGTCTTCTTGGAGTGGAAAAATTGGAGTGGAGGGAGAATGCATTCTGGCTCAAATGAGATAAAAGTGAAAAAGCTAAAGGACCCCTGGATGGTTAAGTCTAGACGAATTCGACTATGGGATGTGGTGCTCATCTCCACTTTCAGGCTCAGGGAGCCACTGTTTGTCTGCAGACAGATTTTCTGGGTCACGTGGCCAGCATAACTAAACCACTTCTGGCACACAGGACACTGTGAAGGAAGCCAGAGCACATGGAAACACTGTTTACCTTCCTGCCGCAGTGGTACCTATTTATCTACTTGTGTTGGGATGCTTTCAGACTGCTAGGTTGGCAGGAGCTGGTTGCGTGGAATCAAACTGTTGACCTTACGATCTGCAAGCCCAAGAGGCTCACTGGTTTAGACCACAGCACCACCTGCGTCCCTCAAATGAGATAAACATTCCTTTATCTGAAGCCTGGAAGGAGGAATCGCTAAGGGATGTTCGGGTCTTTGCTATCAGTGGCTACTAGCCATGGTGACTATGCTCTGCCTCCCTGTTCAGAGGCAGTCTTCTTGGGAATCCCAGTTGCTGGAAACCACGGGAGGGAAGGGGGCTCTTGTGCTCATGTCCTATTTGTGGGTTTCCTATAGGCATCTGGCTGAGTGCTGAACTAGATGGACCATTGGCCTGATTCTGCAGGCTCCTTAGGTTTTAAAGGATCAGGCAGTGCAACCTTCCCCAGCCTGGTGCCCTCTAGGTGCTCTCACACGCCAACTTCCAGCAGTCCCTAATCAACATGGCCAGTAGTCAGGGAGGACAGGAGCTACAGATGCAGCAACATCTGGAAAGTAGGCAGCACTAAATGGAACAAGACAGACCAATAAAGAGACTCAGCATTAGACATCTTTATCTGTTCACTCTTATATTTGGCCAGGGGTAACGCTGCACCTGCTAAGTACTTAATTTGCTGAATTGCCCATTTCTGATGTTTGCAGTAATGGGTAACTCAGCAAATGCTTGCATGTGTCAATATAATAGCAGAAAAAGACCACAAGGTGTCAGCACAGCGTCAAATTCTCACTCAAAGTGCATTTCAAAATGTTTTCATTGGATTCCTAAGTCAATAGTGAACAGTGATAGTTCCTACAGTATCTGAAATGGATCGCAGTCCAGCTTCCATCTGTATCCTCTGTTGCTGAAGTACCAGCCTTGAGTGTACCAGGCTTGATTTGTCATAAAGTATGGAAACTCTCAGATTCAAATATTTCAGAAGATTTATAGCCCGCTTAGAATACAGTGGTACCTCGGGTTACAAACACTTCGGGTTACAGACTCCGCTAACCCGGAAGTAGTACCTCGGGTTAAGAACTTTACCTCAGGATGAGAACAGAAATCGTGCTCCAGTGGCGCGGCAGCAGCGGGAGGCCCCATTAGCTAAAGTGGTGCTTCAGGTTAAAAACAGTTTCAGGTCAAGAACGGACCTCCAGAACAAATTAAGTTTGTAACCAGAGGTACCACTGTACTGATCTGGAAGGTGTTGTTATTGTGAGAGAATTCCAATTTAATAGGAAAGCTGCAGGAATACCATAGACTGGCTCCCTGCAAGATACCTGTGATCTCTGCAATCTCTATCTCTGTCCAGCCATACCTGCTTTTGAATAGCTGAACTACACTGGAGTCTGCTGACCAATCTTTTTACAAGGGCAAATTGTTGCATATGAGATGCTATCACTGAAGTTTCACTGCCAGGTATTTAAAAATGTACTTGCATCAAAGGTGGTTTGCACTTTTATCTCTGCACTTAGCTACTAGCACAGTTTCTCATGCCAGACATGGAATTATTTATAGGGTTATTGCAACTAAATCCTATGTAGGTCTATTCAAATGCAAATCCCACTGAATTAGAGAAAGACTTAGACTGCAATCCTATGCACGCTTACTTGGGATTAAGCCCACTCAGAAGTGAGTTTTACTTTTGAAAAGAAAATGCACAAGATTGTGCTGTTACTCCTTCTTGGTTTAACAGCAGTTTTAAATCACAGAAAATGGACATACCCAGCTGTGTTCTCTTGTGGTAATTAGTGTTATTGCATATATGCATATATATATATATATATATATATATATATATATATATATATATTGCTTTCTTATGACTAATGAAACTTATATCTAATTTTTATACTTATATCTTATATACTTATATCTAATTTTTAAAACAAACCTGTCCTAACTGAGAGACATGTTTGATCAATATTATTTCACAGATAGCTTTGTATTTATACTTCACTTTTTACATGTTTTATAAGCCAGTCATTCAATGGTCTAAACTGAGGGCACATGCACTGCCTTGCCTCCACAACTGAGGGGGCCGGGGTCACGCAGTGGGTGCACACACTGCAGGGCATGCTGACATGTCCTGCAGGCGCCACCCATCTTCTGCATGTGATGCGAGCATGCCCCACAGCATGCATGCACAGCCGCCACAGAACCTTGAGGGGGCCTGGCTCCCTCACTGAAAGTTGCCCTTGACTGAGGGCCAGACATGATGCTAAATACAATCCCTGACATGACTTAGTTGGGCCTTGTAAACTCCTAACCGCTGTCAGGTTTGTGTCCTGACTTTCAATGGAGTTTGACCCATGTTGTGCAGGAAGTGGAGAACCTTTCCTTTCCCTCCAGTGGAATAATGCCTTTGAAGACGAACAGCCACTGCGTGTGTACTAGTGGGGAAGTGGGGCTGGGATCGTCACTGGGTTCTGATGAAAACCCACCCTCTCAGTGACTATTAACAATTTTAAAATGCTGTCAGAGACAATATTCCTCTGGATACCAGTTGCTGGGACTCAGAAGTGGGGAGAGTGCTACTGCACTCATGTCGTGCCTGTGGACTCCCCTTGGGCTTCTGGGGGGCCACTGTGAGAGAATATGGACTTTCGGTCTGATCCAGAAGGGATTTTTTTATGTGCTGACTGTGGCACTTCAAGTGTCGCATCCAGGTTGAGGGCCTATACATTATGTTATATGTGAGCTGTGACTAGGTTCCTCCCCACATAAATTTTTTGGAAGATTTAATTAGTAACCCTAAGCCAATGTTTTTAGATTAGGGCAGTGGCACTCTAGGAGAAGGTGTCTAATCCTGTGCTTATTTTTTAAATTTAATTATTTAGATTTGGATACTGTCCTTCAGCCGTAGATCTCAGGGAGGTTCACAGCATAAAAATACAAGATAAAGACACAAAATACATAATAAAAAACCCCAAAACAATAACCCCCCAACACATTTGATGTCAGTCAGCCAAAGGCCTGGTTAAAGAGGAACATTTTCACCTGGCGCGTAAAGGTATGTAATGGAGGCGCATGGCAAACCTTCCTGGAAAGCGTATTCCACAAATGGGGAGCCACTGCAGAAAAGGCCCTTTCTGGTGTTGTCACCAGCCAATCCTCTCGTGGAGGAGGCACACAAAATAGGGCCTCACATGATGATTGCAGGGTCTGGGTAGGTTCATATGGAGAGAGGCAGCCCTGAGCCGTGGGTTTATATTTCAAAACCAGCACTTTGAACTGGACCCAGAAACTAATTGGCAGCCAATGCAGTTGGGCTGGGATCAGCATAATAATCTAAATCATTTCTTTTATAGCTACTAATTCTGAAGGGGGGTGGGTAGAATGAGAGGTACAACATCTAGCTTTTACAGTAGAACCTCGGTTTTCAAATGTCTCCGTTCACAAACGTTTTGGAACCCGAATGCCGTAAACCCGGAAATAAATGCTTCGTTTTCAAACGTGCCTCAGAAGTTGAACTTCCAAGGCAGCTTCCGTTTTGAGTTTCCCTATTGTTTCGAGGCTTCTGTGTTGAGTTTTCAGTTTTTGAACATTTCAGAACTCGAACGTTCTTCCGGAATGGATTAAGTTCGAAAACTGAAGTTCCACCGTAACAGAGACAGGGAGAGGGAACTGCTGTTAGCTTCATGAAGGGGGCGGGGGGCGGAGTGCAGCATCGGTACCAATCTCCCTCTTATTGCTTTTTGTAAGGGTGATACATCACTCCAAATCCTGATAATTATACGTCCATTCAAATCTGAGTACATGAGTGCATCTCTCCCTTCACCTACACAGATATTCCAGTTCAAAATGCAATCTCTGCAGCTTTGCTGGATGAGGGGTGAATCCCCAGAAGCAGAGGTTT